GGGTATTCGTTTTAATCATTCTTGTTCTTGAACTCTACTGCTTTTGTCAGAGAAGAGTGATAGTCCGTTTTCTATTTCATGCCGCTGTACTTTCTATAACTTCTCGGCAATTACTTACGCTGGGAACTTGACTGTTTGCATCATTTCTTTTTTTTCATCCCGACATAAATAATCAACAGAATGCCCAGGAAGAGTTTGGAAGCAAATGAGACGTGGTTCTTGAGAAGAATGTTGAAAATACCTTGGATTGCCAGAATAACTAACAATGATTGCCTGGAAATGGCTAATGAAAGTTCAACATTATATACAACAATGAGAAGGAGACAAAGTTCTCTGGTAATGTGATGAGAAAAGGAGCACTGGAAAATATCGTGACGACCGAAAAGGTCACTGGTAGAAGAGGCAGAGGAAGACCAAGAGAAACGATGGTGGATAACTTAAGACAGTGGCATGGAGGAATATCCTCAGCAGAATTGATACAGAACACCAAATACAGAGATTTGTAGAAATGTATGAAAGCCTATGCCAGCTTGCAGGGCACTTGATGATGTTGATGAGCAAAACAAATATTACAGCCGAAGTGAATAGAAGTAGGGAAGTATGATAGAAGACGGGGGCGTTTCTACAATTATTTATGATGGGGAATTAAGTTCCTACACCGCTTAAATTTTTCTAAGTTTAAATTTCTTCAGCGTCAATAATTAGTTATCGTCCAACATTCTGTATATTGCTCTTAAAATAACTTCTTAGTAATAGCAGTCAAACCCCCCCCCCCCCCCCCCCCCCCCCCCCCCCCTGCTCGCTCACCAATGGTATATGCTATATGTAAAAAGAATTGACTCTTCTCAGTCTGTCTTGAGAATGTCCGGTCGGTAATACATAGTGCATGGTTTGTTCTTTTCTCTGGGTTTTAAATATAATTATACAGAAAACTGCGTTTAGCCTCAAATGATAAATATTTGTTTACTGCATTGTTATACTTTTGAGTTTAGTGAAATTTTACTTTCAGTGCCATCTGATAACACAGGAATTAGCCACAGAGTGAGGAACTTGCAACATCTGACGAAACTTGGCAACACACGGATTTAATAGTGCACATCGTCACTTTTAGCGCAACAGTCGTAGTCTTATTCAGAATTTACGTAAAAGACGAGATTCATGTCTTTTGTGAAAGGTAGATTGGTTATACTTGAACTTGGTGCTGTATAACTATTCTTCTTCTTCTTCGCGTTCACCAGCTGTACACTCTAGCGGAAAGTTCTGGTTACTCTTAAAAACCAGTCCAGCAAGAATCATTGAATACGTTTTTAGGTTGGTTGCGTATCCTTTACAGGACGTTGCAGAACCAACCCCAGCAGCCCCTGGCTGTTGTGTGGTTTCTCTAGGCAAATTTATGTCCAGTAGTTTGCCATTGCTTCCTGGACGGTCGGCCCACTGATACCACTGTCGAAACCAACGCAAGACGCATGGCCTGCAGCTAGGATATCGAATACGTATATACCACAAATAAGCGAAAATACATTATAATTACTTGTGATGAGGGGGGAAATCTGAGTGGGCATAATTCGGTTCTTAATTTATAACGTACCCCAAACACGAAATATCCGTGGGAAATCCACAGCTGACCTGACAGTCTATTATTTAAAGGGGTGGAAGTGTGCTGTTGTTTTTTTTTTTTTTTTTTTTTTTTTTTTTAAGTGTTTATCTAGTGTCTTCAAATCCTAACCCTAACCCTAAACTTGGCTGTAGATAAATCGCGAGGAACTACAACCTGAACACCCTAGAATTTATTGGGAATGTCTCCCGTGACGTTGTCGTGACGTCAGGGGTAAGTTATAAATTAAGTACCCATAATTCTGCTAGGTACACTAGAGCCTAAACAGGTTCAGAAGGTCAGGTCAGAGCTTTCTTTAAATATCTGGAAAACGCGTTGGCCAGACGGTGATACCATAGTTAGCTGTGCATCTTTTACAGGACGTTGTAGAGCAGTTGCGGCTTTTCTAGGCTAATTTACTTTTAGTAATTTGCCAGTACTGCCATTAATAGTCGGCTCGCGATGCTACAGTCGAAACCAATGTAAGACTGTCTTATTCTGTCGCCTGCAGCTCGGATCAAATCTGGCATTATGAAGCGCGTTCGCAACAGCCACAAACGTCGAAATTTGTTGACACAGCCTCACAGAACAACTATTTATTTCAAGGTGCTGTGACCTTGAGAAGGGACCACCCCCTTCCATTCAGGAGTAAACCAAGGCTTTCTCCAGCGGAAAGCCTTGAGTGAGCCCAACCTCTGAGTGGACAGAACTATGATAGCTGCACTAGGCCACAAACAGGGTCAGAAGGTCAGACTGCTGCCCCAGAGAAAGGGAACATATTGGGGATTCTTGCAAGAAGGTGCTGACCGTGACCTACTTGTGTGTGTGGTGACTAAACCAGGGCTATTCATCTGGTGGCCCGAAGGCCAAATTTGGCTCGCGGAGGCCTAGCAAGCGGCCCGTGGATAACCTGCCAACTAAATTGTATTAATAATCTTGTCTAGGCTGGACTAGGGCCTATGGCTCCTGACAATACCCATTCTCGGACCCCCCCCCCCCACTAACCATAACTCTTGGCTTCCAGGACGACCCAGCCTACAATAGGTACCAGCTGATCTCATGGGAAGTAAAGGTGGCTGGCGTGACGCTGCTGACATAATTTACGGAGTGCCGATTGCTCTATAAAAATCGTTCATTAATTGTCTGTTCAGAGTTGATCCCAAACTGGCTTAGCTTGGTACCTACATTTGAAGACGATCAAGTTATGAAACAGTTACAGGAAGACCAAAGATGAAATAGTTACAGGAAGACCACATATGATGAAATAGTTACAGGAAGACCACAGATGAAATAGTTACAGGAAGACAACAGATAAAATAGTTACAGGAAGACCAAAGATGAAATAGTTACAGGAAGACCACATATGATGAAATAGTTACAGGAAGACCACAGAGAAAATAGTTACAGGAAGACAACAGATAAAATAGTTACAGGAAGACCAAAGATAATATAGTTACAGGAAGACCACATATGATGAAATAGTTACAGGAAGACCACAGAGGAAATAGTTACAGGAAGACCACAGATAAAATAGTTACAGGAAGACCACAGAGGAAACAGTTACAGGAAGACCACAGATAAAATAGTTACAGGAAGACCACAGAGGAAATAGTTACAGGAAGACCACAGATAAAATAGTTACAGGAAGACCACAGAGGAAATAGTTACAGGAAGACCACAGATGAAATAGTTACAGGAAGACCACAGATACAATAGTTACAGGAAGACCACAGATAAAATAGTTACAGGAAGACCACAAAGGAAATAGTTACAGGAAGACCACATATGAAATAGTTACAGGAAGACCACAGATTAAATAGTTACAGGAAGACCACAGATGAAATAGTTACAGAAATATCACAAAAGTAATAGTTACAGGAATACCACAGATGAAACAGTTAAAAAAATGTTTAAAACACATATTTTAGGCACTTTAACCCCTCAGTGATGACCCCCCCCCCCCCCCCACCCCCCCTCCCCCCCCCCCCCCCCCCCCCCCCCCCCCCCCCCCCCCCCCCCCCCCCCCCCCCCCCCCCCACCCCCCCCCCCCCCCCCCCCCCCCCCCCCCCTCCAACCCTCCGGCTCCCTTTAACATCCATCCAGCGATATCTAATCAGTCCTTTCTACCTTATTCAAATATTGTAACTAATAATTTGAAAATAATAATAAAATCAAAGACAGAACACTGAAACAACACTGAAATAAAAATAATAAAATTAATGTCACAGTTATTACAAAATGGCAAGCAATGAGTTATTTATTTGAGGAATGTCCGCTTGGCAGAAGATGCCAGAAATATCCAGGTCACCATTTTGGATTGAGAATACGGCTTATTTTGCTTCTTTTGCACTCGCCCTTCAAAGGTCAGTTGGCACTCTGTGTTTTGGTCAGCGCTAAGCTTTTTCTAAGCATTTTCAACAAATCCCTTTTTAGTCGCCTTTTACGACATGCTTGTGAGGGGGCAGTGGGTCGGTTCTACCCCCCCCCCCCCCAAAGAGGGGTTCCAGACCCAGCGTGGAAGAATTTATCTGAATATTCCATTTGTCTCAGCGCAGTTGCTAAAAGTCTGACTTGGCACAAAGTTCAAGGAGTAAAATATGAAAGTTTAAAGGGACATGTGTGTGAATGTTTTTTTTTTAAAAATTGTCACCGATTCCCATGTCGACCCAGCCTAAAATAGATCCCAGGAATTGCCATGGGGAAGTAAAGGCAGCTGGCATAATGTCGACTACATCGCCAAGCAAGTGCCAATGGTCTATAAAAAGGTGTGAAAATGTTTCGTTACTTTCTTTATTTACATGATGACGAAGAGTTGCTATAACCAGAGATCATGCACACTGGAGCTGTTTACTCGTGTACAACTTGACGAATCAAGTTGTGTAATCACGTGACTCTTATAATCCTTCCAAACAAAGTAACAAACTATTCCAAAGATGCTTAGGAAGCTCTCTGAGCTAACAGAAAAGCTGGCACACTGTTGTAGATTATAGCCATACTGCAATACGTGCACCTTTCAACCTAATACATGCAGTTTCAGAAAACCTTTTACAAACATGTATGCTGACCTATTCTCCCCCTCCCCACTATGATTGCAAGAAATAGATTCTCCCATGGAGACCATTGTTGAATTCCCTCTCTAAATAATCTTAGTGTCTTAGAAGTGAGGACAGTTGTATCACAGAGTAGCAGAATTGTATCATAGGGCAAACTCAGCATTGACTAGGGTTCGATTCTTGCTGTGGGTGGTTTAGAAAAATTCTTATGGCTTTCATTGGTATGAGAGTCACACTGTGGAAGAGACTGGGGCCTCGCACCACATAATATTCCCGCTGTTAGCCATGGGTACACTGCACAAAACCTCCATTGTAGAAAGGGACAACATTGTTTTTGTTCTTCCTAAATAATGTTATTCAATATCATCATCATCATCTTGTGCAGCAGATTCAGATTTCGGATGAATGAGTTTTTTCACACCAACTAAATAATCAACTCTGAGTAGTTTCACTACAAGATTAACAGCCACAAACACTATTTCAAATTTAATGTTGAGTACATCAACTGCACCATTATGAAAATAATCCAACAAATTCTTTGTGGAAACACCAGAAACCGCTGCAACATCAATGGCCTTCATTATATCTTTTTGTAAGTGGAGAAAGCCGCCATTGTGACCAGATTTTGAAACTAGTTGCTTTTTATGCAACATTTTTGGCACAGCTTCCAGTATCTTGATGATCAAGTTACAACACGTTTGCTTCTGCGGTGAAATATCTGACTCCATAGACTGCTTTAGGAAATAAATAAGTACATGCTCAAAGTAACCATTTCCTGCCAAAATGTTGTTTATAATAGATGAGCTCTTTGATTTAATGAACTTAATCTCATGAGGATTTCTGCCAGTGATGTCAGGTTTTTCAAGATCTGGAATCGAACACACGTTCTCGGTGTTTACAGCAGAACTAAGTGAGCATGTGGAGCTAAAGGATGTCTTGTTCAATGCTTTGATGGATGCCAGTAAACAGTTGTTAGTAACTGTGAGAGATTTTCTTACATATGTTTTAATTTGTTGATGGAAGCTTTCACTTGGGACACATATAAACATTGCATATGGTTTATATTTAGCACAGGAGTCATCAAACATAAGACTAACAAAATGTTTCCCTGCAACAACAGTATGTTCCCATGATGCAACGGTGATGATATTTTCGCTATGAACACCGTCATAAACACTTGTAACAGGAACCTTTCCGGTCAAGAACATCATCAGGTCTGTGTTTGCATCACTGAGGCATGCTACAACACTAAGGTCAAGGCTGTGACACATTTGTAGGACAAATGGTGGTACTTTTTGAGTAGTTAAAATAAGGGAAACTCCTGCATTTTTCAACTCTTGAAGAGTTCTCCTGGTTACATGAGTTCTGTAAGTGAGTAAACTTTCTGAGGAGTCACAATTGAATGTTACTGTATCCGAGGCCTGTTTGTCCACATTTCCTTCTAAAGGGCATTGTAAAAAAATTACTTTGGCTGTAGAAGCTGAAAACTGCTGGCCAAATACACTCCCTTGTAGAAAAAGCCCTTCACGAAAATATGAATTCATATATGAACGATTTGGTAGCACAAACAGAAAATTATCAAGAAACTTTTGAACAATATTCAAATCCATTCCAGTTTCAACAGTAGACATTACAAAACTGGTCAAAATATCAGCCAGGTGGTCACAAACTTGTCCTGGCAACCCTTGTAAACAGGGAAGTATAACATTATACAATGGTCTCGCAAAAATCTGACAAGCCTGGACATCTTTCTGACTATTTTGAGCATAAACAAACTTACTTACATTATCGCAGATATACACAAGTTCAGAGTTAACAAACTCATATAAACTTCTTGATACTGCAACTCTAAAAGATGTATCCGCAGAGCTCCCATGATTACGTTTGTTATGATGTAATTCAATGGCAGACAATAACTCATCAACATAAACAATGAGTGTTTTACTTCCGTCTCCATAGACTTGATAAAATGATGTCATGCTGTCCACAATCACTTTGGCAATCGGGTGGCAGATATGTAAAGATGAAAGAATGCTGACCCCACTGCAGGTCACCGACATCTGACCTGTGCTTGAGGTCAAGAGTGCCTGTTGACAGTTAGGACCAAAAGATTTGGAGATTGTGTTCTTGAGTGACCCAGTAATGATTCTCAGATCTTTTAGATGTATCGGGATAATTTGTTTCTCATCCATGGTGAACTGTGGATAGGAGAAACAAATTATTTTACCTGCACGTTGTTGTGATATTTGAAAGAGAAAATCTTTCAGTGTTGTGTGTGTAGATTCATCATATGAGAGATAATACACATGTGAACAAAACCAGCTTGGTCTAGATAGAATAATCGGTAAATTTTATGCTGGTCTCCCCATTTACACACTAATACACACTAGCTCACTTCTGGTTAGATGAACTACAGCCCACCTCATTTCTGATTGGTCAGCCTCGAGCGATCCGACTTTCACAAAGGTCACAGGGATATTCCGCACTCGCGCTGATACTGCAAGTTGAATATTTCACCATGCTGGAGCATTTAACACTTCTAAAACATTTAGATACTGGGTCTAACACACAAACCCCCTAGAGAGTGACAAAACCTATGTCACAACCCGTCTCTTCCTCGGAAATAAAAACGTAAGTGCAAGAAAACAACAGACTGTGACACTCATAACCTCAACCACGGTAGACTAGTCCAATCAACTTATCAATGGAGTTGACCTAGAACCGGTGGTGTGTAAATGGGGAGACTATCGTATAAATAACCGAAAAATCATATATGAGACAGCACAAACAGTCCAGTACTAGTTACATTCACCATTTATGATAGATAACACAAGTTGTCATTTAGTTGACAGATTATCCTAGCTGCACAAGGAATCATTCAGTCCATAAGAGCTTGGAGCCTCTCCTCATAAATCCCACAGCATGTAGTGGTTGATGACAACAGCCCTGTTTTTTATTTTCATTTTTGTCTGGTGTCCTGCACGGAGCTCATGTCTGGCCACACCCCCTTGCAGTCTGGTCACGGTTCCAGATTCACAGCCATAACTTGGTTCTTGCAAATCTCTCACTTCTCATAGAGCATTTAATAGCTGAGTTGAGTTGAGTCAAGAACTGACATCACAGCACTGGGTGCATTCCCATATGCACTCCATCCCCATCTTCAGCAGCTAATGCAGAGTTCCAATACTAACTGTGCCAGTCGTAGTCTGGTTGTATGTCCCTCCTGCCTTAGCTATGAGCATAGTGTGCCAGCCAGACCTTCTGGTCACACCCAGGTGCATCATTCTCTTCAGCCCATATTTATCTAGTTTCTCTTCTGACTTCGTTACTTCTTTCCAAAGGGCTCTGACCACATCTGCCTTGTTATGTATCAGTTCACCACCCAGCAGTGCAGATCCAGCCAATCTGTCTGCCTGTTTATTCCACACCATACCGGCACGGCCTGGAGAAAAGATCCAAAGTATGCTCACTACCCATGACCTTCTAAGTGAAGCTTGCCACTCTGCTTGTAGCAACCCTGCCTTCATCTTTCTCAGCATGCTTTCAGAGTCTGTTACAATTATGACATGTGTATGCATCTTGTTCTCTAGCCACCGGCAAGCTGCAGTGGCTGTCTCCACCTCCATTCCCATGCTAGATGTTGTGGTATCATATGCCAAGCTGTCCTGCACTAAAGATTTTCCATTGGCTTTCGCTACCAAACTCCAGGCACTTCTCTTTCCTCTCAACATAGAACCATCTGTGTAGATAACAGAGCATTTGGTAGTAAGCACAACCAGTACAGTACTAGGTAGATTAACCATTTTGAAAAGAGGTGAACACTAGCCATTATTTCTGAACCGATTCACCATTTTTGTTGATATTAAAAAACTGGAATACTGTGTATTTAACAACTGGGAAAAAAAAGTTATTTGAAAAAGTCAGAGGAGGCTTGACAGGAATTCATCATAATATGGAAAAAAAAAAGTTGCTATCTGTAACAAATAAACTGATCATCATTTTGGAGATCAGATCAGGGAAGGTGGAGAGGCAGAATCTTGCACACTGGTTGGTTGGCAAGAAGCTAGATGATGATAAGATATGAGATAATTAACCAATGTTTTGTCTGGTGTGGGTGCACACACATGTGTTTCAACATTTGTACATCACAGAGTGCCCAGACTTTTTGTTGTTTGTTTTGATGAGAGAATGCCTGAGTGTACTGCTAAGCCCCTCACTGACTGACATAAGTTATAAGTCACCACTCTTCTTTTAAGTATTAATAATAATAATATTAATGATAGATGGTTAGATGTAGGGGGACTGAGTGGTCTTGAGGTACGCGTCCGCCTCAAATCAGATATCGACATTTGCAAGATGTACTTCCGTGTCGGTTCTGAGGCCAGATTTTTGTGATAATAAAGAACAGACCTACCTACAAGCATGTCGTAAGAGTAGACTAACAATGGTGGTAGGAGTGCATCTGCCTGAGAGGCAAAGAACCAACAGTTTGTATACAAATAAGTCAGACCTGTAAATCTGATGTGCAAGCAGAACTTGTTCTAGAACAAGGCTACAGGCTTGATTGAAGTAGATGAAGTTATAAGTAAGTTATATTTATATCATAAACAACCAAAAGTAAAGTGTCCGCTGGAGTTTAATAAACTGTTTACGCGTTCGTGAACGCGATGAAGAAGAAAAGGACACTTATACAAAGCATCAGACAGAAACTTGCTCAAACATATTCTGGGTAAACAAAGAATAACCACGTCTTGAATTAGCAATAATTACTTTGTGAACGGATTAAGTAAGGCTTAAAATGTTACAGGAACAAACGAGTCCTGGCCTGGTCTCCCATAGACGCTTTCAGCCTAAAGTAATCGATCATGGGGATCATCGGGAGTAGTTATTGTTTCCTGTCACTGATAACTAGTTAACTACTAGATGAGATACTAGATCATCCAGATATATACAGTGGGCTTGAAATGCGCCAGTCGCGTGTCAAAATAAATTAGACCTTCACACACCAACTGTACGATGAACAGAATACACGTAAAGTCAACAGACTTAAACGAGGCCGGTCTTGGTTGGGACGTGCAGAGACAGTACTTCAACGGGTCATTTTCCCTTCAAGACATAAACCGCGGAGAGGAATGGATACCCAAACTATAAACGAACACAACAGTACTCTGTGGTGGTTATCACCCTGACAAGACAGTGCCGTGATATGGCGCCATAAATACTTGATGCAGAAGTAAAAGCATTGTTGGAGGAACACCCATTACCGGAAAATTCTCTTTTATGTACAGATGGTTATGTCAGATCAGAAGCAAAGTGCATGGGCTTTCACGACAAGAACGAAAAGAAAAGTCATCAAAGAAGGCAGTGGAGCCTTTGCTTCTACTACCAGCAGCATGACAATGAAGGGCGTGACTGCGAAAAAGGCCAAAAAATGGCTCAGGAATTCACTATACTAATATATTTTTGCTCCGCGACTCAATGAACATGCTACAGAAGATCAAGGCGAGGCATTTTACAGAAACAGTGGTGCCATCTGACACAGCACGCAGCGTTTCGCAAAATCAGCTTCATTTTTGTCCCAGAGGATGCTGGTGTCAAAGGCAGTGAGAGAGCAGACGCTCTGGCTGGCAGTGTGAATTAGCCACCTATGGACAGGAGAGACATCATCGCCATGCAAGAGACTAAACGCTGTGAGGCTTTCAGTGTCATGGAAAATGATATTTTTCTCAATGAATAGACGGCATACCGTCGGTTTACCTGTTGAAGCTTTGAGATAGGAAAACCATGCGGGAGCAACCGGTTGTTACGTCAACCAGAACTGAATGGGAGCTGTTAGCCTAAAAACAATTCGAGACATGCTCAGAGGGAGATCGAAGCACTTATGGTCATGTCCCATGTGCGATGAAGATGATCTCTAAAATGAACAATAAATAATATCACTGATACTGATACATTTATGTATCTACTCTCTATAACTGAATGTCGTAAGATGGGTCAAAGGTGCCGGGACCTGGTTTTTACGTTAGGTTACCGATTCATGTGAGATTCCCCCTCCCCCTTTCCGTGTTTGGGAATTGTTGGTCAGGACAGTCTGCTCATTGTTGCTTTTTTTTGTTGGTGTGTTTTGTGCTGAGAAAGGCTCCGACCGAAACGTCAGATTTTCACATGTGTACGTTGCCCCCGCTCCCCTTTCCCGTTAAGCTTCCTAGTCACAGTTCGGTGGATGAATGTCTTGCACCAGAAGAAACAGGTTTGTATCTTTGATAGGATGGGTCAACAGATTCATGGTAAAACTGTTCTCAACAGTTTGCGGATAGATGCGTTCTAATCTTATAGTCAGTATGAAAGATGGTCCTGGAACCCTAACAAGTTAACTCCTTAAGCTCTCAAGAAATACAGCCTGAATGATTAGCTTTTTCCGTGTGTATCAAATAGCGCTGACACGTTTCATTGTTTCCAGGCGATAGTGTTCATTCTGCTATAGGGAGGCAAAGGTTCACAACCAGAGACTTGAATGGAGGCTGGTGACAGCTGCAGCAATGAACCTCAGGAGCTCGGAATGCTGAAGAAAAGCAGAAGATTCAATGGGATCTCTGGCATACATAAAACAACGTACTGTATTTTATAGAAAAGGCTTTTGTGTTGGCTCTATAAATATTAAAGAGATCTGGCTATTTATGTTAATATGTAACACATTATTTGTTGTACTTTAAAAAGTCACACACTTATAATTCACTTTTTTTTTTCCTTTTAACGTTGTGGGGAGGAACAGTTTGTGATCCATTACTTGATTGATAGCAATGCTATTGCTGGTCACTGTCGATGTAGAAGGTTTTTAATGTTATCAACCCATTTTCTTCTAAGGCGATTTGGTTGTTGTTGCTGTCACGTCAGGCCATTTAATGTGTAGTTGTTGTTGCTGTCATGTCAGGCCATTTAATGTGTAGTTGTTGTTGCTGTCATGTCAGGCCATTTAATGTGTGGTTGTTGTTGCTGTCATGTCAGGACATTTAATGTGTAGTTGTTGTTGCTGTCATGTCAGGACATTTAATGTGTGGTTGTTGTTGCTGTCATGTCAGGACATTTAATGTGTGGTTGTTGTTGCTGTCATGTCAGGACATTTAATGTGTGGTTGTTGTTGCTGTCATGTCAGGACATTTAATGTGTAGTTGTTGTTGCTGTCATGTCAGGC